TCTCTCTCTCTCTCTCTCTCTCTCTCTCTCTCTCTCTCTCTCTCTCTCTCTCTCTCTCTCTCTCTCTCTCTCTCTCTCTCTCTCTCTCTCTCTCTCTCTCTCTCTCTCTCTCTCTCTCTCTCTCTCTCTCTCTCTCTCTCTCTCTCTCTCTCTCTCTCTCTCTCTCTCTCTCTCTCTCTCTCTCTCTCTCTCTCTCTCTCTCTCTCTCTCTCTCTCTCTCTCTCTCTCTCTCTCTCTCTCTCTCTCTCTCTCTCTCTCTCTCTCTCTCTCTCTCTCTCTCTCTCTCTCTCTCTCTCTCTCTCTCTCTCTCTCTCTCTCTCTCTCTCTCTCTCTCTCTCTCTCTCTCTCTCTCTCTCTCTCTCTCTCTCTCTCTCTCTCTCTCTCTCTCTCTCTCTCTCTCTCTCTCTCTCTCTCTCTCTCTCTCTCTCTCTCTCTCTCTCTCTCTCTCTCTCTCTCTCTCTCTCTCTCTCTCTCTCTCTCTCTCTCTCTCTCTCTCTCTCTCTCTCTCTCTCTCTCTCTCTCTCTCTCTCTCTCTCTCTCTCTCTCTCTCTCTCTCTCTCTCTCTCTCTCTCTCTCTCTCTCTCTCTCTCTCTCTCTCTCTCTCTCTCTCTCTCTCTCTCTCTTTCTCTTCTTTTTTCTCCTTCTCTCCCTGCGCGTTTTCTTGCCCCGCTTAAGAAGAATACTTTCCAAAATACGATATATACTTGTAATTAAATTCTTGACCGTGATTTGTCTATTAACTCGAAACAAGCTAGCATCGAATAAATAGAATGGCGTTAATAACAGTTGCCGGTTAATTATCGAAAAATAATAACAATAACTTGCAATTATAACATATGATAAATTAGTTCGATTTAATATACATTTCGAGTAATTAGAAGATATGGATCAATTATGTTGAGTGATGATCACTTATCATTACCGTGAACAACATTGCAAATATATAATTAGCATATTCCAATTTCGTGACGCGATATTATTGTAGCTTTATTACACAGTGGCTCTTAATATTTGTGCTATATTACTGATGTATCGAGTAAAATTTTAAAAGTGAGATTATTTTTTCTAGTGTTATAATTTATATCGTTCGCATATATCGTTCAGAATAACCGATATACTTTTCAAGAATTGATAACTGTTTACTATACAAACATATTCAATCGATGTGTACCTATGTAGTGAATCAAACATCTCAGGCATTTCATTTTATTTTTTCTTTTAAATTACGCGTACTCATCGGCATGTTTAACGCCATCAAATTTATATTGCAGTGATTACAAAGTTTACATATATACGAGGAGAGGGCAATTGTAAAACGCTCAATTTCCTTCTTTTTACTATCTCTTTTCTGGATGATTTTACCGTCGAAATATGATCCACTTAGGTATTACGATAAGTTTATAAGGTGATTTCTATACACAGTCTCTCTCTCTCAGCACACCCTGTGCTATTTTTTTTATCTATTTCCTTTAGAACAAATGTTTCAGTCTAAGATACTTATTATAAATACTCTTTCTCTCGTATCTGTAATGATAAAAAGATTTCACGGGGTTTATTATCGTTGTGTACAAGACTATTTAATTATCAATAAAAATAAAAGTAAAAAATTCTATTCAATTATTAATCTCGATGCTTATATTTCGAATCGATTTCCGATTTTCTTGCCATTCGCGCATCGCGATATGAGATGAACCGGCTCCTCGCTTATCCACTCTCGTCGTTCCAATTCGTACTTTTGCTACATTATTTCGTCGGTACTCTCTCGGGGGGAGTTTGCAGTAAAACATCCCTCTTTTCTCGGTCTCTTCCCCTCGCGAATACTGTATTTTTTCGCCTCGCGCAGTAACCGCGCGGATATATACGCGAGACTCCTATCCCTTTCCGTGTGTCGCGCTACGCAAGGAGTTTCGTGCAATAATACATTCGCGGTGACCGACGGCCAGCGGTATATCCTCCCGTACTCCCCTCGGTACTTCGCCCTACGCACCTCTCGCTCTTTCTTTTCTTTTCTCCCTCTCCCTCTCTCCTTTTCCCTTTCGTTCACCCAACGTTGAACACTGTTCTCTCTCGAGCGTGCTTCGCCGAGTTCGACCGCAGACGCACACGAGTTTTGTACGAGACACGTGTCTGGCCAGCGGCGCGTTGTTAATCGCAAGTCGGAAGAG